GGGGGGGGGGCTCCGGCGGGCGGGCGGGCGGGCGGGCGAGCAGGCGCCTGGAGGAAGGGGCGGCGTCAGGGAAGAGCCGCGGGATCGGCGCTGCCCTCTGCCGGACCGCAGGGGAAGCCGCGTCGGACGCGAGGGGGAACCGCGGGCGAGCGCCCCTGCCGGTGGGTCCGCCCGCTCTGCCTCTCGGGGCGGAAGGCCTCCGTGGCCCCGTGGCCGGCAGCCGACGGGATCCCGAGGAAGGGGCGGCAGCAGGCGGAGCTGGCCGGTCTGTTGTGCCACCCAGCCGGGGAGGCTCCTTGGAGAGCGTGAAATCCTCCCCGCCGCCGCCCGGGACGGCTGTCCTGAGACCGCCGCAGCCAAACGGCTCCTCTTGAGAACCGCGGCGATGGAGCCGGCTGCTCTTCTGTCAGCGCTACCCAAGATCGCGTGGCTCTTTTGGCAGCGGCAGCACCCAGGTGGCCCTTGCCCAACCTTCCAAGCCCCCAGAGCCAACCTTGCCCCCAGGGCTCCGTTTTTGTCTTGCCCAAGTGCAAATTTGCGTTTCTGAACTGCACCTTATTAAATGAGGACCAATATTTAAGCATATCAATATCCTTTTATAGCCTAATTTGTGGGGTTAGCATCTGGAAATTTTATTACCACACTTTTTATTCCCTCATGTACATCCTTTATAAAAAAGATTGAAGAGCAAGCCGCCCAACCAAACTCTCATTTATTTTCCCCAAAGTTCCTGTGAGTTTAGGACACAGTGGGGAGGGAAAAGGGAAAGAAAAGCGAGGGGGGAAGGGAAAAAAAAAGAAAAGGCATTGACTTCCGACTTCCTTTGTTGCAGTACATTGAACCTCAACTTTTTACTTTTCCATAATAGTATAAACTAACCATTTCTATAACAACAAATAAATCTAATCAGTAAAACCCAAAATCAAAGTTTCATTTTTTTCCCATCTCAAGCACAAAATCTAGAAGTGGTTCCACGTAGAAACAAAAGTACTTATATTCTTTTGTTTAATCAAAGCAGTCAATTTAGCCATCTCTGCGAACTCGAATTGAAATGTCATTTTCCCCTCTTTTGAAGATGGGACCTGCACCAGCTCTTTTCCAGCCCTCTGGTACTTCCCCGGTGCTCCAGGATCTTTCAAAAGCATGGCTCAGTAGTTCGGAGATCAGGTCTGCCAGCTCCTTCAAAACCCTGGGATGTTACCCATCCGGACCTGGTGCTTTGAACTCATTTAGTGTGTACAGGTGTTCCTTCACCATTTCTTGTCTACTTTGAGTTTTATTCCTAATATGTATTTTATAGTACTGTTTTTGAAGGTTAGGCTGCTTTTTTTGTTTTTGCATGAAGACAGATGCAAAACATAAATGAAGCAGCTCTGCTTTCTCCCTGTGTCTCCCGGTGGAGACGACTCTATCGGCTGTAAGTCCTCACCAGTGGGCCAAGATATCATTTCTGCGCATGCGTGACGCTTCGGTTTCCGGGTCGCCTCTCCTGCTTCCGGCCATGAGAGCGGCGCTGGTGGACTACAGCAGCTCCGGCTCGGAGGGCGAGGGCGAGGGCGGGGGCGCCGCCGGGGAGAAAGGCAGCGGGGACCCTGGGCCTGCTCCGCCGGGCGGCCGCGATCTCTCCCCGCCGGGCAGCAGGTGAGCCCGAGGCGCTTCCCGGCGCCCTCTGCTTGGGCGCCCCCCGAAGGAGGAGGAGGAGGAGGAGCCCGGGGACGAAGCCTCCCGCTCCCCCGCGCCCGTCCTCCCTGCCGGAGGGAAGGGGCTCTTCTTCCGACTCGGCCAGCCGGAGCGGGCGGGGCGATCCGGGCTCGTGAGCAGGTGGGGCGAGAGGGCGCTGGGCTCTCGCTCAGACTCGGCGAGGGTGGCCTTAATCACGCCTGAAGCCGCCCGGGGACCATCGCTTTAGCTAAAATAACGTGCCGGGAGGAAGGTAAAAGCTCGGCGACTTCTCAGATTCCAGACGTTTGTGGAAAGTGCCCGGGGCCTCCTTTGATAGCAGCAAAGGCCACGACATCCTGATCTCTGGGGGCAGATTATTTTTAATCCTGGTGTAGGAACTGACCAAGTGAGACCACAGTTTCCATTTCGCAGAGCTGCAGGGTCCTCCCTCCCCTTGCCGGACAGCGTGCAGAGGATGTTCAGAGATGAGGAAGAGAAGGAAAGGGTGGTGGATGACTGCAGTAAACATGGAGGCCGCCTGCGGACATTTCCTCATGAACGCGGCAACTGGGCAACCCATGTGTACATGCCATGTAAGTCTCTCCCTTGATGTTTTCCTCTTCTCTGAATCTTTATGGTTGCCTTGAGCAGAGTGGTAGTATTATTTGAGACCAGGAAAAGGGGTAATGAGGTCCTATAGTTTAGGAGTGCGTGCTCTGCTTTTTCTACAGACGAAACTGGGGAGGACTTTCTGGATTTACTGCAGCTTCTCCTAATCTGTGGGCGCACTTACGTGCCTCTGCTGATGGGACAGGAAGAATTCCACATCAGCCTCTCTCAAGGCGTGGTGTTGCGCCACCACTGGATCAACCTTTTTGTCCAGTCCCTCAAAGAACGCTTGGCTTCCTGCCACAGGTGAGGCCCATTGACCATGCTGGCAGTGAGTTCCTATCATGATTGATAGGATAGGACTTACAGGCTACTTTGGGGAGGTTACCTGGGGATTAGGTGGGCTCCTGACAAGAGCAGACGAGCAGATACGGGCAAGGCAGAAACAGAGGCCCATCAGGTCTTGATAAATGCCTGTTGGGGAAAGCATACACAAAAACCTGCAGGAGGGGACGCCTGTTGTGTGCCGAGGGCCCCGTTTCCTGACTGTGTTCCTAACTGGCTCTTGCTCTTATGGATGTGGAATTAGATATTTTCAATGTTTTTCGCTGGTTTTATTGTTTTAAAATGTTTTTTTCATTTTTAATTGTAATATATTTTCTGAATTGTAAGCCATCCAGGGTCATTGACTGAGATGGGAGGCCATAGAAATTGAACAAGTAAATAAATTAGGCAAGCGTCCCCAAATCTTAGCATGCAATAAATGAGGGGAAAGTAGCACAGGGATTAAATTAGCATAACTGAATTGGGCTTGAAGCTTGGAAGTGTCATCAGAAAGTCCCGGAGAAGCAGAGAAATAGCCATGACCTGCAGTCCTCTTGCGTGTTTCTGCCTTTCATTTCCATATTAATTGGAATGCTGTGTTGCAGGTTCACCTTCAGAGCTGACCAAGTGAAGGTTTACACCAATGAGACCAAAACAAGGTGGGTGAACGATCTCCCCCCTCAGAGAGATGTGGAGAGTCTTGTGGGCTAGGAATAAAACGAGCCGGCCATCAGTGTGGAATGATTGCTTCAGTTGCATTAGCAAAATATTTCTGGAGGTGAAAAAGAGGAAGACCAGACAGAGGGAGGTGAGAGAGGGCGGGCAGGTGTGGTCTCAGCAACTCCATTGTGGCCTTTCCAGCTCCAGGAGAGTCCCTGTTCAGGGGGTTTGCCTGCCCCTGTTACCATTCCAAATTTGATGGTACCTGAATGGATGTTCCCTATCCTGAAGAGGACGGGCATTGGCTCCCATGGCACGAGGGCTGCATGGCTGGCAGAGGGAAGGCAGCTCTCTTGGAAATGTTCTGCATGAATCGGCTCCCCCTTCAGCAGATGGGGGTGGAAGTATCTATTCATCCTAACAGGGACAACTCCCCCTGCAGTTCCAGGCACAGCAGATCCCACCAGCCCCACCATTTTGCCAGCACCTCCCCTTCTTTCCTTTCAGCCCCCGCCAAGGTCCAGGGCATCCCTACTCAGCAGATTTTCTCCATTAAATCCTCCTCAGCCAATGCAGGTGGTGCTTCTGTAATATAGTTGTCTTCTTGACAAACTTGAACAATGGGCCCTATCCAACGTGTGCTCTTCTCTTGCGTTTGGGAATCGAGTAGCCATCCGTGCAAGATGTTGACCATGGAAGAGCTGCTGCAAATTACTCTCTAAAAATCTTCTTGCAGGACCTTTGTTGGCTTAGAAGTTTCTTCAGGACATTCTCAAATGTTGGAGGTGGTTTCAGAAGTGGATGAAGTGATGGAGGAATTTAACCTAATGCCTTTTTACAAGGTGAGGCTTGCAGCTGTCTCAGGGAAAATATGAAGTTACTGCTTTAGAATGAGTCTCTGGAGGAAGCTGAACAGTAACTCTTGAATAATCAATTAAGCAGCTGTTTAAATGCACTTTCAACAGCTTCATCTTCCTGTGTCCCCCCCCCCCACTGTGATTAGGGTAGAATCAGAATACTGATTCAGTTACCAATATTTGATTCTTTTACCTCTGCTCTTTTATGAACTCTGAACCTTATTGCAATGCAGAATATAAGATATGGCTCCAATTTGCTCTAATTGAAATGTTGGCAGTCAACTCACCATGCCTGGGATTCTGGGTCTCTGCCTGCTGCGCTTGGCTATGCTGGTGGACCTTCCTCTGATCTTGACCACTGGTGGTTGTTCATAGGATCCCTCGTTCCACGTGAGCCTTTTCTGGTGTGTGGGGAATATGTCGGAAGCCCTCAGAGGCCAGTGTATTCAGGAAATGCAGGTAACCAGCCTGGAAGCCTTTAGCTATAGGGAAACACCCTGCTAGGCAAGGAGGAGGGATCAGGCGGGGAACTACTATTGAGTGATTGCACAGCCACAAGAGACCTTGGGCTGACCCCCCAACCCCCCCAAAGTTCCTTGGGGCCTTATCTGTTTGTTCCCAAGATACGGCAAGCAGTATAGGGAGATTCTTGTATTATAGGCAGAATACAACAAAGTAGTCAGCTTGAACCCTACATGTGCAGCCCTGGTTGTGTGTGCCTGACATTAGCAGGGAGCTACACGAGACAGTTGAGTCTCCATACAGGTCATTTTGTGTCCCAGCTTTGAAATGGACTTAGTTCAAACTTCAGACATGTTCACGATGGATCCATGTTAGACTCAGATCTCTACCAGTCAGGTTAGAAGATCCTGTTTATTCACCTATGGTAAAGCCTGGAGTGAGTATGCAGGTATGCCAAAGTCACACAGCCTTTCCCCTCCAGAGGGAGTTTCCAAGAGACTGGCCCTTGTAATTGTTTTAGCGGTGGAAGACCGAGCAGGGGATTGGGATGGAGGCACATGTGAAGAGAGCTCCCGAAGTTGGCAGGGATCCAGCTGTGAAGGCTTTAAGCAACTTGACATGAGGTTGGGGCCGGTGGATAGCCAAAGAACTGAGCAAAGCTGGAAGCGAAAGGTTGTGCTGATAAATTCTGCCAGGCTGTTCGTACTTTGCTTTCCTATTGTTGCAGGAGATTGTGGATGGCTTTGAGGACTCTACCTACTTGCTGCGAATTCCTGGGACTGAAGTCCGTTGCAAATCTGGCAATAAGGTTTTCTCGTTCCCTCTGCGATAGAGAAGCCCAGGAACAAGAGCAGCCGACTTGTGATAGGCACTTTCAGCCCTTTTCCAAAGATGGGCCGAGGTGCCACCGGATTCCCATCAAGTCCCTTTGGAGTCAACTGCGCTTGGCAGCAGCGGACCTTCCAAGAGCACATTTCAGAGCCAAGGCAGTTAATGCCCTCAGACCTCTGCCAGGCCAGGCCCTGCTTCACTCCAGTTCTCAGCTGCCGTAGAAACAAAAGTATGGCTTCCTGAGAGTAAGAGGGAGCCAGTGGGATGTTTCTCCAAGCTGCAGGACTTTGTCTTGTAGAAGGCTGATCCAGGGGTGACCCTTGGGGGATGTCTCGGGCATGGGGTCTGGTCTTTCTCAGAGTGAGCCACAGTTGAAATGGAGAAAAGGAGAGCCAATTTTCTTCATCGTCGGTTTCGGGCGCTTTGCTGAAGGGGTTCGCCAAAGCTTCCTGGATAAATGATTGTTCAGAACCTGCTTTGATTGTTCTGTTTGAATTGTGGGGGGGGAATCATAAACGGGCACAAAATAAGAAACATGTACGCAGTATTGGAGTTAGATTAGCTCTCCTATGCACATACTGACAAAATACTTAATTCCTCTAGGTCAAAATCAAAACTAAAGTCCCCCCAACCTTTCATTTGTCCATCAAAAGCACAGTAGTGGCCTTGAACGGCATTCAGATGTGCCCAATTCACAAGACTTGGAGAAGGTAAACTCCGCATGATCCATGCTTATTTCCCTGCATTCTTGAGAGGAACTGGGCAGTGTGGAAAAAGACTAACCTTGTTCCCCCAAAGAGCATAAGCTAGGTAATTTTGAGATTTGTTTCTCACATTTTCATGATCCAAGATAGAAACTTCTGAATGCAATAAATCAAAATGCTGGTTGAGAAATTTGGTGGGGGTCAGTCAATCATATGGAACATTCACATCACATTTTAATAAAAATACAAGAGGAATGCAAAATATAAAACGTCTGGATTGCAGATACAATTTTTTGCTTAGTTTGTCTCCATTATAGGCTCTATTTTGGTACTCTTGTCACTATATGTTGGATATTTGTTTTTTGGCCCCGCAGTCACATTTCGTGACGATATTTGCAGATCATCCATGGCCAGTGCAAATTAAGTTCAGTGTTGTCCATATCATGCAGGCTGGTCAAATCCTGGTGGCTTTTCCAAGATGCAAAGCAAACTTGGTATCAAATGCTTGAACACAGATGTGTTTTACGCTTAGAAGGGCTGCACGTTGGCTCTTGTGCCATCTATGGTGCTCAACTGTATTGTGAAGTTTTTGCATTGACACGGACGGGACTTAACTAGAGCCTCTTTAAAGTGCATCTTATCCCTGTATTTGTCCTGTGAAATTCACCTCCGCTTTCCTAGAGATTTAATATGAAGTAGTTGACAAAGAGCTGCAACCGTTCAGTTGCGGCTCCGGTGGGGCGAAAGGGGGGGCGACGCCCGTGGCATCTGGGGCCCCCGAAGCGCCCGTCGACACCTTCCGCCTGCAGGGCGCCTCCAGCCGGCCGGCGCTTCACACCCGGGCCTCGAGGGACTTTCCCCGGCCAGCCCGCTGAGACACCGGCGGGGCCTCCCGAGCGGCTCAACCCAGCCCCGGATGAATCCGGTCCGTGCCGCGAGTGGCCTCCGCGGAAAGAGGCTTCCGCTGCAAGAAGGCGGCGGCCGGCTGGGAGCCCCGCTGCGACTCTGCTGGCCGTTAGGCGGCCGCCCCCGCCGGAAGCCCAGCCCAGCCCGGCCAGGGGCGCAGCGGGCGGCGCTTGGCGGCGGCGTAGGGGCCGGCCGGCCAGGGGACGGCAGCGGGGACNAGCGGGGCGAGCACCAGCATGGGCGGCGGGGTCCGGTTGCTGCTGCTGCTGCCGCTGCTGCTCCCGCGGGGCTCGGCGGGACCGGTGCTGAGCGACGCGGACGCCGAGGTGGGTGCGGGCCGGCGCCTCCCGCCTCCCGGGGCGGCCGAGGGCGGCGGGCCTGCCGGGGCGGCGAGGGATGGGTGGGCGCCGACTTGGCTGCGGTTCGAGCGGCTTGCCTGCCCGCCGCACCTGCCGCTGCCGGCCCCGGGCGCAACTCTCGCTGCCTTGCAGGCCTGGCTGCGCTCCTACGGCTACCTGCCCGCGCCCCGCCGGCAGCCCTCCAGCCTGCGCGCGGCCCGGAGCCTGTCGGCCGCCCTGGCGGAGATGCAGGCCTTCTACGGCATCCCGGTGACCAGCGTGCTGGACCAGGAGACGCGCGCGTGAGTGCCGGTCCGCGCCGCCTTCCCGGGGTGGGTGGGGGGTCCTCGATCCCGCTGCCGAGCCAGCCGGCCGGGGCTTCGGAAGCGCGCCCGAGTCGGCGCCCGGCGGGGGGAAAGGAGCCCGGGGAAGCCGCGCAGCCTCCGCCGGGCTTCGCTCCCTGAGCTGGAGCGGCCGGTGGCCCGAAGCCCCCACCCCACCCCTGGGGCGGCTCGAAGCGGGGGCTCGGCCCGGGGAGAGGGCTGCGCTCCCGCACCTTCCCGTCGGAGCGCCCCTCTAAGGCGGCCGAAAAGCAAAGGGAGGCCGGGGACGGGAGCCTCGCCCTGATTGCGCGCGGTCCCAGAGGGGAACGAGGCGGCGGGCGGGGCGGCTTCTGGGCTCGCGGAGTCTGGGCAGCCCCCGAAGAGCCCCCCGGGGCCTCTGCCGGCTTTCCCCAAGGGCCGCTGCCCCCGCTCGCCTTAGTCCAGCGAGGAAAACCTTTTGGTTTTGCTGCTTCCCTTCCCTGCCCTGATTGTCGCAACTCGCAGGTGGATGCAGCGTCCCCGGTGTGGAGTCCCTGACAAAATTGGGGCTCAGGTCAAAGCTAACATGAGGCGGAAGCGATATGCACTGACTGGTCGAAGGTGGAGCCAGATGCACCTGACCTTCAGGTATGTATGTCCGGCTGTTGAGGCCTGGGAGGCAGCCCACTTGCAACTCTTTAAACTGCTGAGTGAAAAGAGGTTCACGTACGTTGGCTACATGCCAGGATCTGATGGCTGCAACACTCCGAAGATTTTGCCGAAGAGGGTTACAAAGGTGGACGGGAAGGGCTGGAGGCAGGGATGAGGTTCATGCAGAGGAGCCCAACACTCCGTTCAGAAGGCCAATTCCTTGTTGGGGTGATTGACTGAAATTTTCCAAGACCAGCAGGGACATTTCTTTGCTTCCAGGAGAACGAAGTAACCTCTTTGGAGATTAGGAATCCTACATTAGTCTGCAGATTTATTCTTGCATTTTGAATTTGAATTGTCCGAGTTGCACCTGAATTATGTTGTCAAAGGCGCTCTGATTGTACAGATGCTTGGAATAACAACGGTGTCTGGAATCCCTGGAAGAAGCATTCTTCCTATAGGTTCTCTTAAGACTCTAAAGGCTGAGCAGTTTTCTGTGGCCTTCGTGGGAAATGGCCCACCTCATCAGATGCCCCACACCCTGGTCAGAGAGGTGGCCGCTGTGATGTATTAAACCTGAGGTTCAGTGGCGGAAAAACCAAGCGACAAAGGTGAGGCCTGTGGGAAAAAGTGGTGGTGACGCATCCTCGTAGCAAGACAGGCATTTCAAGGCACTCTCCGCTCTCTGCCTTCTCTGGAGCTCAGCACTGTCCTCGGCTGCCCTTCTGCCACAGGACCACCCTTCAACTTTGCTGGAAGCTGCTGTTGACCTCTGCAACTCAGCCTGCTGTTCTCTTGCTCTCCCTTTCGGAAGGCTTGGGGGGAAGGGGGGCCTTGCAGACCAGCTACTAAAGCATGGGGAGCTGAGAGACAGAGGGGCTTTACAGGAGGGGGGGGCTCCCTGGAGGACTTTCTAATCAGAGGCAGTAAGATTTCTGTGTGTTTCCCACCCCCTCCTTCTTTTTTTGGAAGCATCCAGAACTATACAGAGAAACTGGGGTTCTTCCATTCATACGACACCATTCGCCAGGCTATCCATGTCTGGGACCAAGCGACCCCACTGGTCTTCCAGGAGATCCCCTACAATGAAATCGGACAGAAGAGGAGAGCAGAGGCAGACATCATGGTGCTCTTTGCCTCGGGGTTCCATGGGGACAGTTCCCCCTTTGACGGCACCGGGGGCTTCCTGGCACACGCCTATTTCCCAGGTCCTGGAATGGGAGGAGACGCTCATTTTGACTTGGATGAGCCCTGGACGCTGGACAAGAGGGACGTGCTGGGTAAGGAAGCTGTCCTGGGTGGGAGAAGGCTAGAGGTAAGAGAGAGGGGCCCTGCAGGACAGGAGGAGCCACCACTAAGGCAACAGGGATAAGTGGGGGTTGAGCCCATTCCAAGAAACTAGGTTGCGTAGTCAGACAACCCTCTCCCTCATTTCCGTGAAGATAAAGGGAGGGAGGGGAGAAGCCAGCTGCAGGCCCGTGTGTTTCTTAGCGCAGAATCTTTGTTCGCCCTGGATGTTCCTCCTTCAAGGGCAAAGGTCCCCCTTTGGCTTTCCTGCCTTGTAACTGGGCAAGCAAAGATAAGTGGGATGCAGAATCTGGAGGCCTTCAGACCGCACAGACTTTGTCGTCATCTACAGGAAACAATCTCTTCCTGGTGGCCATCCATGAGCTCGGCCATTCATTAGGCCTGGAGCACTCTAGCAACCCGAGTGCCATCATGGCTCCCTTCTACCAGTGGATGGACACAGACCACTTCAGGTTGCCAGAAGACGACCTTCGGGGCATCCAGCAGCTGTATGGTAAGTAGCAAGCGAGTGTAGCTCTGGGTGCACCTGTGTGTAGGGTTCAGGTTAAAAAAAAAGAGGGATGCAGAATAAATGTTCCAAGCTGCATGGCAGGTATCTAAAGATGCTGTTTCCTTCTTCATCTCCTGATTGGCAGTGACCAAGTAGAGATGATGATTTTTGCAACCGTCTTCATGATATTTACCATTCTGTCTCGAGAACTGCCTGGCATCTGGCGGAGGCTGGAAAATGTTCTTGTCTGGTGAGGGATAAAAATGTGTGCAAGGCAACTGCCAAACTCAGAGAACACCAAGGACTCCACAACTCAACCCTGATCTACAGAGATTCTTTTCCGTTGGAGGATGAAAATATTTGGTTTGGGGGCTGGATAAGGGCTCCATCTGAGATTTGGCCTCTTTGAGAACAGCCTCAGGGCATCCCATGGCAGCCACTGGTTTGTTCTTTTAGCAGCTCTCCCCTGTGAGCGTAATTAATTTGGGTACTTTGCTGCTGGAAAGAGGATGAGTTGGTTGTAAACAAGTGTTTATTTCTCTCCTGGCACTCCTTCTGAGCCTCCAGAACGCCCCAAGTAGCAGGGCTCAAGTACCTGTTTCAGCCTTGGAAACTTTGCCAGCTTGGCCTAGGCATTGTGGCCTTTGGAGGGCAAAGTTTGTTATGTTGCATTTTTTATTAAGCATTTCTAAGGAAAGCAGAAAGGAAGGAAAAAAGGAAACATAGTAGATAAACATATGCATATATATTTCATTTGCAGTACACCATAGAAGTAGATTAAAAATCTCAATATTTCATTAATTATTAGTGTAATTAAATGTAAATCATTTTAAAAACTACCAGGCCTTGTTAACCTCCAAGTGATATATCCATAGCCATTCTCAGTGTAGTATAAACCATAAAGAGGCCAACATTTAAAAGAAAGTGAGCTCCTGCCCAGAGGAGGCTCCCTCCCCCCCCCCCCCGGGTGACCTCTGTGCTGGACTTTTCCTTTCCCCTCAGGGACGCCAGGAGAGCAGCCCACCAAGTCCCTGCCTACTGTGGTACCCCGGAAGCCAGACCAGAAGCCCCCAGACAAGCCAAACCGCCCTCCCCAGGCCGGCCCCCCTGACACTCTGGAGCCCAACATCTGCGATGGCAACTTTGATACCGTGACCGTTCTGCGTGGAGAGATGTTTGTCTTCAAGGTGCTTCTTTCTGCTTTGCTTCTCATGAAGGTTTCGGGGTGGTGACTTCTGTGCTGGGGAATCCTGGCAGTTCTGCCAACTGGGCAGTTTGCCCTGAAGTGCAGGTGGCTGGTTCTGGAGGGCTGGTCTGGGCTTCAGGGAAAAAGATTGCCCCGCTTGGCACTGCAGGGCCAAGTTCTGAAACGGGCCCTTTCTCAAGAGCACAAACACGCTTCCTTTGGCATCCTGTACTGTGGGTGCAGGACCTGATATTTGCTTGCCTGGTTTCTGGCCCCAAATGATGCCATCGCAGATGCCAGCTGGTCAGGCCTGAGGCCCAGCCTGGTCCATCCCTTTGTCCCTCACAATCACCAGCTTTCTTGGATACCTGCAAGTAGAAGACGTAATCCCAGATGGCCCTTTTGCAGAGTGCAGGTTTTCTGCTTTGCGTTTTGAATGATCCCAGAGTCTTCAGCCTTTGTCTGCTCACCGGGGTGGTGGTGGATGGAGCTGCTTCCTTTTCCGGAGGAGGGCGGCTCTCCTTGGATTGCACTGGTGGAGGGGGAAAGTGTCCCCCTTGCACGCCACTGGAGGGCCGGGTGTTTGGACTTAACAGGAGGGAGAAAGAAGGATGGGCTTTGCTGCTTTCGGGGTTACATTGTCATTTGTTTTTTATTTTAATAATTCTTGCATCTTAATGCCATTTCAAGACCCCTTATTCCTCTGGAGAGCAGCAGCACAACAGCTGCACAACCCTCCTCCTCTCAGCTCAGGGGCTGGGGGGGTTGCTTGCTTCCTTTCAGGGCCGCTGGTTCTGGAGGGTCCGACACAACCGGGTGCTGGACAACTACCCCATGCCCATCGGCTACTTTTGGAGGGGGCTTCCTGGGAACATTGACGCTGCCTACGAGAGGCAAGACGGACGATTTGCCTTCTTTAAAGGTGAGGGGCTGCACCCTCTCCCCCACAAAGGCCTCCCCGGTGCACAATTCCTGACGGGTGGAGCCGTTGCCCCCTCCTGGGCTGGCCTGATTTCCCTGCCTGCCCTCTCCTCAGGCGGTCAGTACTGGCTCTTCCGAGAGGCAAACCTGGAGCCCGGCTACCCGCAGCCCCTGAGCAGCTACGGGCCGGGCCTTCCTCAGGACAGGGTGGATGCGGCCGTGTGGTGGGAGCCCACGGGGCACACCTTCTTCTTCCGAGGAGACAGGTGAGTTACGGGTGGCACAGCGGCCCCCCCTCTTCCTCAGAAGGGCTTCCCTTCATGCGGGCCCTTCCCCTGCAGGTACTGGCGCTTTAACGAGGACGGGAGCTCCGTGGGCCATGGCTACCCAAGGAAGGTCAGCGTCTGGGCGGGGGTTCCTGCTGCCCCCAGGGGTGCCTTCCTCAGCCCCGATGCTGGTAAGTAGGGCAGGCGGGCCCGGGAAATGACAGTCCGGGGGGGGGATGACTGCAGATGGGAAGGTCACCTGGGGGCGGGGGGCAAACAGCTTGTCCAGAGTGGGGGGTTGGGCAAGGGAGAAACTCTTGAGGGAGAAGGGACAAATGAAGCATTCCCAAAGAATTTGAGGTAAGCGATGTAACATCAATTTGATCTTGAAAAAAATGAGTTGTAGGAAACAATTGACCAATTTGCTTACTGCCTGCCCTACATAAATTAGGTGTAATTTCATTAAAACTATCATCCATTTGGGCTGGTTTCAGCCACCTGGCCTCCTTCAGATGTTCTGGGCTGCAGTTCCAGGGTCTGTGAGTGAATTGCAGTCATGTCCAAGTCCAGTATCCTTAAGCCAGAGAAAAGTAATCCAGTTTAATAGCAGCCAGGTGTCACTTGTTGGCCGGTGGTCCTTCTCCCTTGGCTGGACGGTGGTGAACACAGCCACTAAGGCCCTCAGACCTAGCACTGTTGCTTGCCTCCTGTCTCGCCCTTCTGCTCCTCCTCCTGCCGCCCTTCCTTCTCAAGGGGCAGAGGTGATGCTGGGGCCACTGGTGGAACGGCCCTTCCAGAAGTCAGGGTGGTGTGGATCTAAATAGCCATGCTTTGCGAAATACAGACAGTCCAGGGGATTCTTTGTGCAGAGCTGTGCTCACCGAAGGTGCCCAGTGGAGATGCCACAGCAAAGGGCCCCAGGAGCCCTACAGCTGTAGTGGGGGGTGAGGGGCTTGGGGGGCTTCCTGACACATTGCTCTCCTGCTGTCTTCCAGCCTACACATATTTCTGTAAGGGCAGGCTGTACTGGAAGTTCAACAATGAGCGGCTGAAAACAGAGCCCGGCTACCCCAAGTCCATTCTGCGGGACTTCATGGGCTGTCAGGAGGAGGTGGCTGTGGATCCGGACCCCGGCCATCGCTGGCCTGACACGGGAAGGCCCCCCTTCCAGCCCCGGCAGGACAAGGAAGTGGAGGAGGGCACTGCAGCCCCCCGCCCAGGCCTGGAAGAGGAGGAAGAAGAGGAATCTGTCTTGGAGAAGGAGGGTGGGGGGCCGGTTGAGGAGGGAGGTGGGGATGTGGACATTGTGGTGCACATCAACGATTACCCACTGACGGTGAGCATCGTCATGGCGGTGCTGCTGCTACTGCTGCTGCTCTGTGTCCTGGGCCTGGTCTACGTCATTGTGCGGTTGCAGCGGAAGGGCCGGCCCCACATGCTGCTCTACTGCAAGCGGTCCCTGCAGGAGTGGGTCTGAAGCTGGGGGGCTGCTGTGGGGCAGAGCCAGGGAAAAGGCTCCTCTTCTTCTGCGTCCTCCGGGCAAAGTGGCCGTCTGGCTGGAGGACACCCTGGGCTTGCCCAGACTCTGATCCATGGCAGGGAAGGTGCAGGGGCCCAAATGTGAGGCTGCAGCCCAGGGCCGAGGCTGGAAGCTGAGTCACTGCTGGCTGGAGGGATTGTCGGCCTGGTCAAGCGAGAAGAGAGGCAGCTCTTGCTGTGAGATCATCCCTCCATGGGGATCCAGGTGCAGCCTTCACTGTTTGGGATCTGTGGGTCCTCTTCTGCATGTGTTCCAGAGACGTGTTTGGACCTGCTGGCTGGGCCTTGGAGGCAGGGAGACCCCCTCATGCCAGTTGCAGCAGCTGGCCTGGCCAGCAGTGGGCATCCTTAGTGGCCAGTTGGCCAAAGGTTGAGGGGCTGACATCCTGAAAACCTTGCTCTATTTTTGTACATTCTTTTTTCCAGAGCTTCTTTGGTTACAAAGCTAAACGTGGAGTATCTCTACTGTATAAATATTTCTACTCCTACATACTTATTTCTGCTTGAACCCTCTGGAGACAAGACTCAGGCTGAACAGATGCTTCAGCCAAGG